ATTGATTGATCATACTTTATTCATCCCGAGTGAAATTGTCTTAAGGCTGCCAGCCGTGCCAGCGTCATCTTACCCTTCCGACCATACATACATTACACAAACATCACATGGGGAAGATAGGTCAGAGAGGTATAACAATGGAAAATACACAACATGAGGAAAGACGAGGAGAAAAAAGAACTCCCCCCAGACTGAACTCCAACAGGGAGATCAGTTTGAGTGCAGAAAAAAAACCCCACCTCAGCGCATACAAAAAGCACATGACTATCAATACACCATAGAAACACATGACAAGCAACAGGGGTGGGTGTAGACAGCGCATCCGGTCCTGCAGGATGTCTGCACTGGTCCAGTCGACTGCCATCTTCCCCGGGAGGGGACAAGCATCGAAGGTGTTTGGGAGGGGAGATGAGTGTGTATCAGTGAATGTGTATGTGTGTGTGTGTCCAGAGTTCAGCTGAGACAGTGTCCTTCGCAAACAGTCTTCCAGCCAACCTCCCCTATGCCTTACATAGGGGAGGAACAGTCTAAGCACAGTCTGTTATCAGGGTGTTTTTGTTCAGCTCCAGCCTTGAGACCACAGCCGGCGCTGAAGTGGTAGCCGCATGAAGTGATGGTGGTTTTTACTTTAGTGCGAACAACTCATGTGAATTTCAAAGCTGTTCTACCAGTCCGACATGGTCTCTCAATCTCCTGTTGGAGAGCTGTAACCTTCTCCATGATGTTATCAACTTACGCTCCCAAATGTTGTCCTTCTTGTGCTCAAAGAGCAGATTCTGAGAACTCACGACCGCAGTGAGTTTCTCCAAGATGTAATCAAATTTTCGCCCAGAGGTCTTATTCTGAGTATTCATGGCAGTCGTAAGCTTCTCCAAGATCTTATCCGTGCTGCGCTCAATGAGCCCATTTTGAGAACTCACCACTCGTCCCATCAATTCAATCCCAGCGGGCAGCCTTGTGGGGTTTTGAACAGCCGATTCCGCTTTCTTTAATCTTCGATAAGCCAGGGCCAAGCCAGCTCCGATAAGCAAGAACCCTGTTATCATGGTTCCGAATAGGTAGATATCTTTAACATTCAGGCTCACCTGAGCCCAGACTTCTCGTTGAGAAAAGGGTGTCAATTGCATTCAGGGACCAGTTGATCAAATCCATAATTCCTCTTTAGTTTTTAGAGAACAGACTGTGAGAGAGTGTTCCAGGGAAAAGTAATACAAAATACACAAGACTAGACAAAGACACAAGAGGCTAAGCAGGGAAGATAAAGGAGGAGAGGAGAAAAGTGAGGCTGAGGCTATGTCCACACTGATGCGTTTGAAATGCATTGTTTTCTAGTTGTCCCGTCGCAGTGTGGACACTCGAAAACGCAGACTTTCTAAAACAATGATGCATTTTAGTCGTGTGATGCAGTCATGTGACCAATTAAACAAAGAAAGCGGAGGGCATTATACAGCAGTTGTTTTGATTGCTCTCAATTTTGACAGCCCTAAAAAAGATTAATATCAGTTTGTACATGCTGCAGATAGCTTTTCTTCAAATTCTTTAATTCTCACTCGCTTTCGCAGGACTAGAACATAAGCGTTTTTGGCCGTTTCAATGTGGACGAACAACTCTGTCAAAACGACTGAAAATGTTAGTGTGGACGCGGAGCGTTTTCAGACGAAAACGCCGTTTTCAAATCTATCCGGGCTAGTGTGGACGTAGCCTGAGATGTCTCCTCTTAAGTGGGGGGTACGTGGCACAGAGACGGACACTGTTACCTTTTTGATTAATATCTCAGTTTTTAGAGCAGTCCATGGATTGAATTGTTTTCCTAATTCAGCACGTTCAGTTGTTAAAGAGAAAGGCAGAAGCTGATGTCATAAGCACTCCATGTTTAATCACCAGCAATATTCATATCTAAGGTTTTGATCTTATGCATGATTGTGGTGAGAATAAGTCACGACGGGACCACAGATCATCATTCAGAGCCATCTTTATTTACACTCACCACAACACAACACCACACACACCTGAGTCCCCGTGTTTTAACTCGGTGGGCGTGATTACGGATGCCGTGCAGGTGCGTCTGCCCTCTCTGCACGACACCGCAGACCACGCCCCACCACACACCCCCATCGCCCGATTGAGGCCGGGGAGTCATCCGGCCGAACCTACTCCCCCCCCGGCAAACTGGGGCGAGACTTGGCCCAAAACATCGGCGCCCCCAGCCCCTGGCCAAGCGATTGGGGAGCGTCCATTCTGGTGGCCGCCCGCTTATCCAGCGGCGATGGCGAAGCTGGTCCAGAGGTGGGCAAGCGGACACGGCCCCACAGGCATGGCCGTGAGCTCCTGCTCACAGGCGGCTGGGCAGACGTCAGGCGCGCAGAATCGACTGGTGGCAGCGAGGCTAGACTGGCCAGCCCGCCGACCCCCGGCTTAGCGGGGCCATCCTGCTTCTCTGCCTCCAGCTCCGGCCGCGCAGGCTGCCCTGGACCAGAGACCGTCTCCTCGCACAGCTGCTCCACCACCACCAGCAGGCACAGTCCCTCTCGGTCCTCGTCCACCTCTGGGTGGAGCGGCTCCTCTTCCTCCGGTAGGTGTAGACCCTCACGCGTCTCGTCTGCTGCCTCTGACTGGAGCGGCTCCTCCACCGCTCCTGGCAGGAGCAGCCCTTCACCCGGCTGCTCTTCCTCCTCCAGCCGGAGCAGACCGCTGCGCCCCTCGTCTACCACCTACGGTTGCTGAAGTGCTTCACGCGGCTCCTCCACTGCTTCACCACCGTCGGGACACCCCTGTGGGGGTGGCGCCCAGGCCCAGAGCAGCGCCGCCAGATCCCCAATCCTTTTCAGGTGGCGCTCGGTCTGGTCCCGCAGCTCTTCCTGCTGGCAACGCACCTCGACCGCCTGCTCCCGCTGGATAACCGTCGTCTCTGCCATCATATGGGACAGCTCCTCCCTTCTCTGGCTCTGTTGTGGGCCCCCCTCCTGGGTTTCAGCACCAATGTGGTGAGAATAAGGCACGACGGGACCACAGATCATCATTCAGAGCCATCTTTATTTACATTCACCACAACACCACACACACCTGAGTCCCCGTGTTTTAACTCGGTGGGCGTGATTACGGATGCCGTGCAGGTGCGTCTGCCCTCTCTGCACGACACCACAGACAACGCCCCACCACAATGATCTCTGAGTAATCAAGGATCAACCATGCACTGCAAAACACGCTAAGCTTCCCAGCATCCTCCGACACTGGAAACCCTGCAGGTCGATTCGACCCGGCAACAAGAGGACATAGTTTATTGTTTAAAAATTCCTGTAAGCTACAATAACACCTGAGAGAGAACAGATCAAAAAACTTACCGGATGAACCAGGCCTATGCCGTTCTCCACTGTGTTCCAATCCGCTGCTCTGACTAGGTCTGTTTTCCTCCTAGGGTGAAGGTTTTCCTGGTAGGGCAGACCAAAGATCCAGTGCTTGTTTGGGGAGAATTTTTGGGCATTGGTGCGGCTAATAAACCCTCTTATGAGAAGTGAGTAAGCTCCTGAGGATTAATGGTTGATATCAAACTCATTTCAACTCATTTTACCTCAACACTAACAATAAACAAAAATAGAAAGCTTGGGTGGCAGATAGGGTTTTTTGCGACCGATCAGAGAAAATTTTATGCTTTTATAAATGATAAAAAAAAGGTTGCCACGCATCAAAGAGCTTACTAAATTTGTCCTCTAATGTATACCTAATCCTCTCCGTGTGCAATTAAGCAGTCAGTTCTGCTGATAATTTTTAGCAACTACTATTCAGAACAAAACAGTAGTTTCTACAGCAGGGCTGAGGCGTAGAAGGGAAGAGGCAGATCCAAACAATGCAGTTATTGGGTCCAACTAATGTGCAATTGCACATATCAGAGACACATTTAAAGATACCCGGCCAGTAATGGTACAATTTGGGACATGTCCAAAATAAATGCGTAAGAGAGGCTTCTCCAAGTTTGCGATGATCACATATAGGACTAATAGAAGTAAAAAGTAAAATCCCTGTTTTTGTCAGGGTAAAGAAGTTTAAGTATTTAATCCCAATCTTAGTATTAGAAAAAGAAGTGCAGTTAGTGCAATCTGTCTCAGATTTTCTATATGTTATAGTTAATGAAAGAAATCTGTCAGCATGACTCTTAAATTAAAACTGTAAGTGGGGAAAAAAGCATGTGTTTAACTCATTGACTGTGTTTCAAAGTTTTTTGTCAATTCACAGAAAATGTCTTTGACTTTTTTGTAATTTAATAGTTTATCTATTACTTACTTACTTTGGTATAGTATGAATGGCAATGGGAGAGATCTCCATCAGTATAAAAAGCTGTAAAAGCTCCAAAATGTATGCCCTCCTTCACAGTTTAACATGAAATCCAGTATTGAAGTCTTTGCCAGGCATGGCCATGGAGTTGGACCCAGCAACAGGCACAACTGATGAAAGGCTTTTTGCTCAAATGGTTTTATAAATAAAATATGTTTTTGCCCTTCTTTACTTACCACCTCCCTGCCATCAGGAGATTAGCTGTTGTCCACCTGATGGAGAAGGACCTCTCTTTCCTTTCTACACATGGTTACATAAACATCACAGTGGAAACTATACATATTAACCTGCAATGGTATTGGATTCCCATGTTGATGTTTACCATAACTTAGTGGAAACCAGCCCAGTCTTCATGTATATCATGGCTGAATATAATTACTATGTTTCTATTTGTTCATTTAAATGCAAAAAACATGGAAAACAATTTTTATATGTTTTCTTTTTTTTTTTTATTGGGCTAATTGAAATGCCATAAAATGGATGCAGAGAGAATTCCAACTTAGATTTGTCAAATTGCACTAAAAATCACTTTTTGTGATTCTCATTATTCTTTATGTTAATTGTAAAAGTAAAACAAAACACAAAAACATCTGTACACATTTCACATATTACATTATCATGAAAAATAAAAACCCAATAATTTGTAATCGCTATCTTTGATACAAATCGTAAAAACAACCAAACAGTTCCAGTTTCCAGAGAAGTGATCCAAAATATAAACATATAATAAAAACAGAAATCTAATTTTCATGGGGTTGATTGCCAATCCTCTCCTGCCTTTCTATGCTTGCTCATTCTGTTCTATGTTCGCAACCAGCCCTTTGGTGTCCACCGCTGCTCGGTTTGGATTGTTGAAGTATAACTTGTTGTCAAAGGTGGATTCTCCCAGGGTGGGGGCAGGTATCCGAGGTATCCCTTAACAGAACAGGACGAAGGTACCAGGTCCAAGTATGGCGATTCCAATTAATACTATAGCAAGAATGATGCCAGCGGACCCGTGTGTAGTTTCCTGGATGACGTGGGCTAAGGAGGCAAAAATATAGAGTTGGAGCAGTGAAATTACTCAGATTTGAAAAATTTAAACAACATATGGTGGCTTTTCTGTAGGTTTAATAACTAAAAATGATAAATCAGTGAATAAATACATACAAAGCTAAATTGAATTTTTTTTTTTTTTAAGAAGGGTTATTTAGGTTACCTTTTGGTGTTTTGCAGATGTAAGAAAATGACCTTCTGCAGTCTGTCGTACTCCACAGACCAGTGTCAGAACTGATGTACACACACGACTCTGACTGTGGCATTCCTGATTTCCAGTTGGTATAGTCCAAAGGGCTGTTATCGATCCACATCCACTTGTCTGAAGCGGAGACACATGTTAATTTATCAACTAATGGAGCACACAGGCACACATGTAGGAATGTATATACATGTATATATTATGCTGAATTTAACCTCACCTTCATGGGTCTTGTACATGCCAATCCAAAAGGTTTTGGCACTGTCCTGGAGAATCTCCACATTCTCTTTCATTAATTTACTCTCAATAGGGTCCTGAATACTCACTAGAGAAGCACCTGATAAACATGGTACAACAGTTAAATGCTAAAGGTCATAAAAATGGACATAATTCTCTGTTTACGTTGAATTATTTGTAACTTACCCAATTTTATACATTCAATTGAGGCATGGGCCCAGTCGTTGGTCACTGAACTAAAGAAGGAATAACAATGGCCTCTGAAAGGTATCCATGTTCTCCTGCTTGTTGATTGCGTACAGTCTCCAGGAAGCTCTGGGGGAGCAGTGGGAGCTATTTCTTTTATTTATGTATTATTCACATTATTTTATTGTATAATAACTTGGTGCCACTGGATTTGAGGACTTATGAAAAGAGAAAAGCCAGAGATGTTGGAGAATCCTTATGGTTTAGCCTCAAAGAACCATAAGTGAATTTATGAGGTATAAATTCACATTTCAGACCAGTCAGTGAAATAGCAGATGGCATCGTTGAGTCTAGACAGAAGTGGTGAATCAACTGACCTACACTGTATTTCTCAGTGAAATAAAAAGATCTGTTGAATCAACTAGACTTTTCTCTGACCAATAATTAAACTTACCTTGTACAGATATCACAGGCTCGGGGTTGGGAGTCACACCTGAGAATAAATAAGCGAGACCCACAAATATTACCAAGCTTTAATTTAACACCAAATGTTTGGAAATCTGGCTCTGTGTGAGCTGAAATTCCAAGATATGATCAGCCTGTCTCACCTTTGCGTAACTGGCAAATCCAGCTATTGTAGGCATCACAGTGTTGATCATTCCACCTCATTCTTAAGTTAGGGTCCATCTCTGTACAGTGCTCGCTGTCATTGTGGTTATTTGGTTCTCCATAGCCCCAGTTCTCAAAGTCAAACTAGGTCAAAGTTTTTAGAAAGATACATAATTAGGCAGGAAATGAGAGCAGTAATAATTAAAGCTTTTCCTGATTGTTCTGAATTGCTATGTACCGGTGATCCATCACTCCAGACAAAACCTCCATTGGTTCCCTGTAAGCTGAGGCCTATCCAGAATTTTTCACTGTAGTAGACACTGTATGAAAGTAAAAAACACAAGCACTGATTATCTGAATTGTTGATTTACCCAGTATGAATTCTGAGATATGCAAGCTGTTAGCTAGTGCAAGTAAACATACTTGAGCTCTCTACATTCCTGATGACTGTGTAAGCTTATGAGGTCCCCGCCAATGGCCCTGCAGAAGTCCTGTGCTTCAGACCAAGTCTTCTTTTCCTCTTGACGTTTCTTGTACGCCTTTATTAAGGAGTGAAAAAGCAAAATAAGCAAGTGTTTTATTACTGAATCGGCACAAATGTATTATTGTTCTTAAGTTTGTGCTCCTACTTTGAAACATTTGTTCCCTTTGCCGAGTGGGGTCCACTGAGAAGCGCAGGTCGCAGCCAGAGTGGTGGGTGGAGCTGTTGTTGTCTGCACACCCTCAGCACGTTTCTTGCAAATATACTTCTCCTTGTTACTGCAGCTGACAACATCCCATAGTCCAGCAAAAACTCCAGTTGTCATAGCAACACATCCTTGTTTTCTGTCTTTTATTAGAGTAAGATAAAAACATACGGATTAGATTCAATCAAATACATGAAAGAAACTGTGTTGAGTATAAGAAGAGCCTATTAACTTATCATTAGTGATCATGATTGACATGACAATGATGATCATCTTTTGCTTTTAACCTCAGTGAGACTTAGTTTCTCTTTTAATTGAGTTAGCTATTTAATTAATTATTTTTCTTTTCTTTTACTTGTTTTTTATTTATATCTCATGTAATTTTATTTTAGAATCCCAATGTACAGCACTTTGTGTCACCTGTGGTTGTTTTAAAGTGCTTTATAAATAAAGGTGGTGATTATGATGATGATGATGAAAAATCAGCACCTTCAAGCTCAACTGAAATTTGAAGCTGTCCACCACTCAGACAAAATAATAAGAGTGAAGGTGAGGAGTAAGTTAAGAACACTGCATCAACTGCCAAGCACGGCGGTGGTAACAGAATTTTCTGGGACTGTTTTGCTGAGAGTGGTACTGCTACATTACAAAAAGTGGATGGAATAATGAATAAGGGTGACTCAAATCATCAGCTAGATGTGTTTAAACACACTCCAGCAGGACGGTGATGCCAAAACTGAATGTGATAGGTTAAAGAGTCTAACTAAGGTGTACCTGGCACTCCCACATTGAAATTAGTGAACGTGACCGCTCTTTCAGTCGTCCATTTGAAAGTGTTTCTGTCTTCTGTGTTGGATAAACCTGTCCAGAAGTACTTCTCTGGTCTCAAGCCCACCAAACTGACTAGAAATGCATTCTCATATCTGCATGAAAACATACACAAACAGAAAGTTTGGCATACGTGTGACATTTCTACATTAAAATTACACTCAACAAAAATATAAACGCAACACCTTTGTTACTGCTCCCATTCCCCATGGGATGGATGTGGCGACCTAAAATTCATTCCAGATACACAATATAACCATCCCTCCCAAACAGTGGTCACAAATCAGTCCAAATGTGTGGTAGTGGGCACATCTGCCATATTGAGATAATCCATCCCACCTCACAGGTGTACCACATCAGGATGCTGATCTGACATCATGAGTAGTGCACAGGTGTACCTCAGACTGCCCACAACAAAAGGCCACCCTGGAATGTGCAGTTTTTTGCGCTATGCCCAAGGCGAAGCGGTCAAAGTCTGGCTGTACTTCACAGCAAAATATGCAAACTCAGCAGCCTGCAACAAGTGCTTTAAGCTGATACTGTGATACTGTGCAAAGGAGGTAACACCTCGAATCTGATGGAACACCTGGCAACGCATAGCGTTTTTTTAAAAGCCGAGAAATGCGCCGTATTTGATAGCTTGCTGCGAGACCTCACACCGAGCACATCTACTGCGGGTGTGGTGCCTGTTATGGACCCGGAGTTAGCAACATCAGAACCCGAAGAGGAGAGTCCTGGCCCCTAGCCCTGCCAGTGTAGCAGAAATGATGAGGATGATGATGGCAGCAGCAGCCGTTCTTCTCTGCGTGAGTAGCTTAATGTTGTTCGTGTGTAATTTACGTTGAGTAGGCTAACCACGTTATTACATTAATGCAGTAAGGTGAACTAGCAAACACCGTCGTAGTTACATGCGGCTGTCTTCTTGTTTGATGGCAGATGCTCCCAGGCATCTCCGAAAACGTTAGAGCATTATGCAATATGTGATGTCTTGATAAATCAAGAAGATATTTGAAGTTTACACAGTTTACACAGAAAATATCTTAAAAGTATTTTGTGACCCAGAAAGAGTAATATTTCAAACTCCGCCACTCTGTGTTCCTCCGCCACTGCCTCGTTTGAGTTTTGGACGAAATGGATTCTGGGATATTGCATTTCGTCATTTCGAGCTGATTGGAGACCAGAACAGCCAATCAGATTTTTTTTGCATCCAAGTCTGTGATTGGCTGGTTTTGTGGCACAAATATAACGGTGTACAGAAAGAGTTGAGCGCGCACAGGCAGAAATGTTGAGAGCGCAAGCAACACATTGGAGCGAGCGCAAGTGCAAAAACTGAGCGACAGGGGCTGCTATTGTGTGTGTGTATGGATAATAGCAAACACTGAAATACATTTTTGCACGCAGCAATGAATTTTGTTCACTCAAATTTAGCTTTTCTTCGCTCAAAATAAATTTCTCCTCAAAATGCAACACTTGCACCTGCAATTTTTTTTTACGTGCGCTCAATTTTTTTTACATGTGCTCAGAATAGTGGCACAAAAATAACGCCATACCCGGCTGGGTCGCCCGGGCGAGAGTGTATGATGTTGTGAGACCTGAAACACCTGATGACCCCAGGATACATCAATAAAGATGTGTGCCAGTGCATCCAGGAGACGTTTCTTGCATAATTCAGTCACTTGAACACATGCCACAAATTGCAGTATTATGAATGAATGGAGGCCAAGCAAAACAACGCACTGGTTGCTAACTGGAAGTGAACTCAAACATTGTACAAAAGTGGACAGTACACTGTGCCAATGTATCTCACCAGCTCACTAGGAAAAATTAAATAACTAACCAATTTTTCAAAAAAAAAAAACCCCACAGCTCTCAGCTTCTCAGACAAAAAATATATCTTCCCCACTCAGAGTTATTTTCTGTCAAGTCATTCAGGTACAATTGATGGCACGGTTCTGGTACAGTCTTTTTTTTTGGTCTTTAGATTTGCTCATTAGCAGTCATGTAACATGGATGTGAAAGCAGACTTATGTTTGCATGGAAGTGCAATAAAAACTGCTTTTATTTTTATTAAAAATCAATGAATAGTTGTGGCAAATAATTGTGATCTCAATAAGCAAAATGTGATTATTTTTGGGGCATAAAAATGTAGCACTAACATGAACCAGAAAAATTATTGTATGTTACATTACAGCCTGAATTTGTTTGTTATCTGGTTAATGCAAAAAGATCTTAATTTTTTAAAAGTATGAAGCACACAATACTACGCATATTGCAAAATAGTTCATAATACTACAAAGCAAAATAATTGAAATTGATGTAACAAAAAAGTGTTAAAAACATAAGTTTTTCAGTGTCATTCATTGTAATATTTTAAAAACTGGTATTTGGTATTTGAACTATTACGAAAACATCTAAACATGAAATATACCTATCAGACACATCGACCAGGTTAGCACCAGCCCCTGAGCATGCCTGCTTTGCCTCTTCAAAGGTTTTTTTCTCAGCTCCGATGTTATAACAGTATGAACCAAACCGGACGTATCCCTAAAAAAAGGAGAAAAACTGATGAATAAAGGCTTTTCTGTTAAATTGCACCTGTATTTAAAGGAGAGGACATAACTCACAAGCTTGCATCCGTCGTTGACTTCCGCTAGACTGCCTCCAATTGGTTTAGCCGAGGCCTTCTTCTTGCACATATATCCATGCAACTTCTCACACATGTGATCTGCCCACTTACCATCCTGTATAAGAAATACAGAGGGGTCTTAGAGTAGTAGCTTTATAACAAAATTGATTGTCGTTTTGCAGGAATTTGTGCTACCTTTCCTTGAATCAGGACACAGTCCTCTTGGAAGCTGATGAGATGAGAGGGCTCATCACTCTGCCACTGGGTAAAGGTGACATGTGAGTGATCGGACCATTCAAAGAGCATCTGGTTCTTTTGGTCATTCAAGCCAATCCAGAGCACATCTGTCGGCACTGAAGTTTGAAATATTGAGAGATGGAAAGTGGTCATATATGTCTCCTTACTCTTTCAGGCTGTTTTTATAATAGAATTGTTTAATGAACGTCACAAATTTATTTTTTTTAGTCTGGTTTGGAGGTGCTGCCAGGTATAGTTTGTTACAAAGCTCATGCGGCACAACCTAGCTAATGCTATGCTAAGCAAATTAGCTCAAGGCTAGTTTCATATTTTCTCAATATGTAAAATTATCCATTGTCATCTGCTTTATCCGAGGCCGGGTCGCGGGGGCAGCAGCCTAAGCAATCCTCACAGTTTTATTATGAGTCCATGTCTTTACAATACAAAGCTACAAAGAGTATGTTCTTAGCCCTTCTGATCTCTGTCCACAGCCAAACAGCCTGGCTTTTGCCCCAATCACTGGGTTCACTATGCAGGAAACTGCTACTATCTGGTGAGGACTGCAGAGATGTGGAGTAATGCTTTAACTGCATGCCGCAAAGAAGGAGGAGATCTTGCCAGCATACATAACATAGAGGAGCAGAGCTTCATTATTTCTCAATCTGGATACAGTAAGTGTGCAAGAAGATAACAACAAATAACAATTTCCTGCTAAAGTACTGAAATATCAGAAAATGATGTGTCGGTCGCGAACGAAACGGCTCTTAGAGCCGGGTCTTTGACGTGAACAGCGCGATCCGGCTCCTTATTGGGAGTCGTGGGTGTTGTTTTGTTTTTTTCTTCTTCTTCTTCTTTCTCTTGCACCGTTTTTCCGCTTCACTCCACACGTGAGCCTTGTGCTTGCGCTGAGCAGAGGGGGGAGGGGCGGTAGTTACACTCGCAGTAGCACAGGAACAGAACAGGAGGGAGAGAGAGAGAAAGAGAGCTAGAGACAACAACATCACATTAGAAAGGTATAGTAATCATCCACAACTATTTTCAGTTGCGGATGATAAAGGATTCAGTAAGTTTATTCATGCAGGCCAATATGACAGAGAATGTACATCTTCTATTTGTTTCATATTTTAATTTATATTTTATTGTGTTGTGGTTTGCAGTGTTTTGTGTTGTTTCATTTAAATTTGTTTAAAAGGAAAAAGCTGAAAATTTAAATAGTTAAAAGTTGAAATGTGAATATTTGGTTTTTGTATTATATGATTTATTTATTACATTTTATGTGGAGTGAATAAATAAAAGTATATTTACGGTGGCCCCCAGAGACAAAGCACGTACAAACTCCAAAACACGTACAAAACACAACAGAAGTGCTCCAGGATGCTAGGGGGCAGTGTTGAGCTTTTGTTACCTAGTGGCTACACAAGCCAGGAAGTACCAACGACCGGATTTGGTGTGTGGTAGTAACAGGTAAATGAACATTTTTTTAATAATTATTTGAATATATATGAGTGCTTGTGTATAAATACACAAACAATACACATATGCTTTCAATTGTGTAATTTAAGTGATCTAGGTAGCTCTGTTTTGGAAGTTCAGTTAACGCTAGAAATGTGTTTTGGAGTTTGTACATGCTTGAGTTTGTACGTGCTTTGTCTCTAGGGGCCACCCATATATTTATATATAAACATATATAAATAAAACCACTTTTTTTACATTAGTAATTCCTTTTGTGCATAATTTTATATTGTTGTTGATAATAAATTAATTAAAGCAACAAAACAACCTGAAGAGCCGGTTGGGAGCTGAAAGAGCCGACTCTTTTTAGCCCATATGGAAAAGATATATATAAATCTTATAAAGTTTGTATCTGTCTTGTGTGAAACTTGTATGAAAAGCATACAAGAGTGAAAACAGATATAAGATCCCTTGAAAAATTATATAAATGAAACTTGTATGTTTTGGATACTTACTAAAACAATATATGAAAGTAATGAGAAAGTGGCCACTTTCATGAGTAAATCATATAAGCCTTATATGATTCACTATATGAAGTAGGCCACATCTTATGCAAGTTATTACTATTTCTTTTCCATATGGGGTGAGCCAAGCTGAAAGAGCCAGTTCTCTAAAAAGAGCCGGAATTCCCATCACTGCTACCTATTACCTACCTACCTATAAATTAAAAGAAATAATTTTACACTCCTCCTTGAATCGCTACCTTATCGTGGTGGAGGGGTTTGTGTGTCCCAGGGATCCCAGGGGCTATGTTGTCTGGGGGCTTTTGCCCCCTGGTAGGGTCTCCCATGGCAAATTGGTCCTGGGTGAGGGACCAGACAAAGAGCGATTCAGAAGACCCTTATGAAAAGAATATCGAGGGAACAGTTTACCCTGCCCGGGATAGGGTTACCGGGGCCCCGCCCTGGAGCCAGGCCCGGGGAGGGTGCCCGAGGGCGAGCGTCTGGTGGCCGGGCCTTAGTCCATGGGGCCCGGCCGGGCACAGCCCGAAGAGGAGACATGGGCCCATCCTCCCGCAGGCCCACCACCCGCAGGAGGCGCCATAGGGGTCGGGTGCATTGTGTGCCGGGTGGCGGCCAGGAGCGGAGGCCCTGGCGGACTGACCCCCGGCTGCCAAGACTGGCAATAGGGACATGGAATGTCACCTCTCTGGTGGGGAAGGAGCCTGAGTTAGTGCGTGAGGTTGAGAGGTACCGGCTAGATATAGTCGGGCTCACCTCTACGCATGGCTTGGGCTCTGGAACCAGTCTCCTGGAGAGGGGCTGGACTCTGTCTCAGTCTGGAGTTGCCCCTGGTGAGAGGCGGCGGGCTGGGGTGGGTATTCTAATATCCCCTCGGCTTGCTGCCGGTACGTTGGGGTTTTTCCCGGTGGACGAGAGGGTTTGTTCCCTGCGCCTTAGGGTCGGGGAACGGGTCCTGACTGTCATCTGCGCTTATGCGCCGAGTGGCAGTTCAGGAGTACCCAGCCTTCTTAGAGTCCCTGGGGGGGGTGCTGGAAGGTGCTCCACCTGGAGACTCTGTTGTCCTGCTGGGAGACTTCAATGCTCACGTGGGTAACGACAGCGAGACCTGGAGGGGCGTGATTGGGAGGAACGGCCTCCCTGATCTGAACCCGAGCGGTGCTTTGTTATTGGACTTCTGTGCTAATCACAGTTTGGCCATAACGAACACCCTGTTCGAACATAAGAGTGTCCATAAGTGCACGTGGCACCAGGACGCTCTAGGCCGTAGGTCGATGATCGATTTTGTAATCGTATCACCAGACCTGCGACCATATGTTCTGGACACTCGGGTAAAGAGAGGGGCTGAGCTGTCAACTGATCACCACCTGGTGGTGAGTTGGATCAGGTGGCGGGGGAGGACGCTGGACAGACCTGGTGCACCTAAACGCGTAGTGAGGGTGTGCTGGGAACGTCTAGCAGAGGCCCCAGTCCGCGAGATCTTCAACGCACACCTCCGGCAGAGCTTCAACAGCATTCCGAGGGAGACTGGGGACATTGAGTCCGAATGGACCATGTTCAGCGTCTCCATTGCCGAAGCTGCTGCATTGAGCTGCGGCCGCAAGGTGGTTGGTGCCTGCCGTGGTGGTAATCCCCGAACCAAATGGTGGACACCAGAGGTGAAGGGAGCCACCAGGCTGAAGAAGGAGTCCTATCGGGCTTGGTTAGCCTGTGGGACTCCGGAGGCAGCTGACAGGTATCGACAGGCCAAGCGGAATGCGGCTCGGGCAGTGGCTGAAGCAAAAACTCGGGTGTGGGAGGAGTTCGGAGAGGCCATGGAAAAAGACTTTCGGACTGCCTCGAAGAGATTCTGGCAAACCGTCAGACGTCTCAGGAGGGGAAAGCGGTGCTCTACCTGCACTGTGTATAGTGCTGGCGGAGCGCTGCTGACGTCGACTGAGAAAATTGTCAGGCGGGAAGGAATACTTCGAGGACCTTCCTTAATCCCACTGACACGTCTTCCGAGGAGGAAGCAGAGTCTGGGGATGAGGGGAATGACCCGCCAATTTCCGGGGGCGAGGTCACTGAGGCAGTTAAACAACTCCTTGGTGGCAGAGCCCCTGGTGTTGATGAGGTCCGCCCCGAGTTCCTGAAGGCTCTGGACGTTGTAGGGCTGTCCTGGTTGACACGCCTCTGCAATGTTGCGTGGAGATCAGGGGCAGTACCTGTGGACTGGCAGACCGGGGTGGTGGTCCCCATCTTTAAGAAGGGGGACCGGAGGGTGTGTTCCAACTACAGGGGGATCACACTCCTCAGCCTCCCTGGGAAAGTCTATGCCAGGGTGCTGGAAAGGAGAGTTCGTCCGCTAGTCGAACCTCGGATACAGGAGGAACAATGCGGTTTTCGTCCTGGTCGCGGAACACTGGACCAGCTCTTTATCCTCTCCAGGATACTTGAGGGTGCATGGGAGTTTGCCCAACCAGTCTACATGTGTTTTGTGGACTTGGAGAAGGCATTCGACCGTGTCCCTCGGGGTGTCCTGTGGGAGGTGTTGCGGGAGTATGGGGTGTCTGGCCCATTGCTACGGGCCATTCGATCCCTATACAACCGTTGCAAGAGCTTGGTTCGCATTGCCGGCAATAAGTCGGACTCGTTCCCGGTGGGTGATGGGCTCCGCCAGGGCTGCCCTTTGTCTCCGGTTCTGTTCATAATTTTTATGGACAGGATTTCTAGGCGCAGCCAAGTGGCGGAGGGCTTTCGCTTTGGTGGCCTCAGAATCTCATCTCTGATTTTTGCGGATGATGTGGTTCTGTTGGCTTCATCGGGTGAGGGCCTCCAGCTCGCACTGGAACGGTTCGCAGCCGAGTGTGAAGCAGCGGGAATGAGGATCAGCACCTCCAAATCTGAGGCCATGGTTCTCAGCCGGAAAAGGGTGGAGTGCCCACTCCGGGTCGGGGATGAGTTCCTGCCCCAAGTGGAGGAGTTCAAGTATCTCGGGGTCTTGTTCGCGAGTGATGGGAGAAGGGAGCCGGAGATCGACAGACGGATTGGGGCTGCAGCTGCAGTAATGCGGACGCTGCACCGGTCCGTCGTGGTGAAGAGGGAGCTGAGTGTAAAAGCGAAGCTCTCAATTTACCGGTCGATCTACGTCCCTACCCTCACCT